CCCCAAAACCCCAAAACCCCGCTAGCTATTTATTTTGAGTGCTCAAGGGATTGTTGAAATAGTCATTATTAAATAATATAGTCTACTTTATTTTAAGAGATAATACATAGTCATAACTACATAATGAGCAGCAAAAAATTAGGAAATTCTACAGATGACGATGTCATTAAGAAGAGCAAGAGATTTTCATTGAGTATGATTTAAACTATAAGGCTAATACTTTTATAGACCCATCTGACAAAGAAGACTCTTTGAGCACTACAAATATAAGCTCTAAATCATCACAAAAAGACAGAAAGGATTTGAAGAGATCTCATCCAAAGTCAATTGGTACTGATTCAAGCGAAAGCAGTAGTAGCAGCAGTGACAGTTCAAGTGAGGATGAAAGAAGTAGCTCCAAAAAATCAGCCAATCATCATCATGTTCCCCTCGAGCCTGAACAAAAGAGAGCAAAAAATGAAAAATCAAATGACTTTGATCATAATCCTCACCTCAATCCCTTTACTAATAGACCTTTCTCACCAGCTTATTATAAAATCTTAGAGAAAAGAAAGGTACTACCAGCATGGGAAGCTCGATAAAAAGTTGTAGAACTTGTGAAGTAATATTAAGTTCTTGTACTTTAAGGGGAAACTGGTAGTGGAAAAACTACATAGGTACCATAATTCTTATTATTAGCAGGAATAGCTAAAGGAAAAGCTATTGCTTGCACTTAACCAAGAAGAGTAGCAGCTATGAGTGTAGCAAAGCGTGTTAGTGAAGAAATGGATGTTGCATTAGGATAAGAAGTAGGTTATACAATTAGATTTGAAGATAGATCAGGACCTAAAACTGTTTTAAAGTATTTGACAGATGGTATGCTTTTAAGAGAGGCAATGAATGATCCAATGCTTTCAAGGTATGGAGTTATTATACTTGATGAAGCTCATGAAAGAACTCTATCAACTGATATTCTATTTGGTCTTATAAAAGAGGTCTTGCCTAAGAGAAAAGACCTTAAAATTGTAGTTATGAGTGCTACTCTAAATGCGGAAAAGTTCTAAGAGTATTTCGAAGGAGCCCCTATGATTGATGTACCAGGTAGAATGTATCCAGTAGAAATTTTTTATACTCCTGAGCCTGAGAAAGATTACTTGATCGCAGCAATTAGAACTGTTATTTAGATTCATATTGTTGAGGATGAAGGTGATATTCTTTTATTCTTAACAGGAGAAGAAGAGATTGAATAAGCTTGTAGAGAAATCAGAGATGAAGTTAAAAAACTTGGCAATGAGGTTGGAGATATGTTAGTAGTTCCTCTATATTCTTCTTTACCACCGGCTTAATAATAGAGAATTTTCGATTAAGCACCACCTAAAAATAAAAGAGGTGTTCCAGGGCGTAAAGTTGTTGTATCAACAAATATTGCAGAGACCTCTTTAACCATTGATGGAATAGTCTATGTGATTGATCCAGGTTTTGCAAAAAATAAGATCTATAATCCAAGATTAAGAGTTGAGTCTCTTCTTGTTTCCCCCATCAGTAAGGCTAGTGCTAAGTAAAGAGCTGGTAGAGCTGGAAGAACTAGACCTGGCAAATGCTTTAGACTTTATCCAGAAAGAGCATTTGAAAAAGAACTTAAAGAAAATACATATGCTGAAATCTTGAGATCAAATTTAAACTCAGTTGTCTTAACTTTATTGAAACTAGGAATTTAAGACATAGTTCATTTTGATTATATGGACCCTCCTGCTCCTGAGACCTTGATGAGAGCTCTCGAAGAACTTAATTATCTTGGAGCACTTACTGATGATGGTAAATTAACTCAAATTGGAATGAGAATGAGTGAATTCCCATTAGATCCTCAAATGTCTAAGGTCCTACTTTCAGCTGAGAAGCTATAATGTGTGAATGAGGCTGTATCAATTATTGCAACTCTTAATGTTCCTATGATATTCCTTAGACCTAAAGATCAATAAAGTGAAGCAGATGCAGCAAAGAGTAGGTTTGCTCATGAAGATGGTGACCATCTTACCTATTTGAATGCTTTCAATGCCTACAAGTTAAAGAAAGAAAGCCCTGACTGGTGTTATGATCATTACCTTAATTCCAGAGCTCTTAAACAAGCTAATGATGTCAGAGAATAACTATTATAAATCATGGTTAAGATTGGAATGAAAATACAAAGCAAGCCAATGAATGATCCAGATTACTATCAGAACATAAAGAAAGCAATTTTATCTGGATACTTCATGCAGGTCGCTCATTTACAAAGGGCCGGACATTATCTAACTTTTAGAGATGACTAAGTAGTGGCAATACATCCAAGTTCTACTCTTGATCACAAACCAGAATGGTGTATGTACAACGAATTCGTTTTAACATCTAAAAACTATATAAGGACAGTGACTGAGATCAGACCAGATTGGCTCTTCGAAATCGCCCCTGAGTACTTTGACTTAGATGAAATAAAGAATAGTGAAGCTAAGAGGAAGCTTGAAAGAGTCTACAAAAGAATGAAGGAGAGTGATGAGTGAAAATAGTTCATTTGCAATTAAGTCTAAGCAATCAATAGCTATTTAGAGTTGTTAATCTTTAATTAATGTATTTAATTTTATAATCTATTACCTTAGACTCATTTATCTCGTAACTCCGGGGTTTTGGGGTTTTGGGGTTTTGGGG